TGATGGCAGCAGCACAGCTGATATTTCTCTCCAGGATGGAGTCACAGCCAAACAGGAACAGACCAGATGAAGCTACTATGAGAAAAAAACTGTTATAATGTTGGAATAAGTAAAAGAAAATCACCCAAAAATTATGATAGAACACATTTTTCTTGATCTTTAAGTGGGGGAAAGTAGGGAAGAATTTTAGTGAGCTCTCGCATCACATAAATAATGTCTTCTCCTTCTAATGCAATCCGGCAGCACATACGTAAGACGTGCTATTCCTGAAGGTTTCAGATAAAAGAGCATTGTGCAGGTCTGCAGCCAGACATCACTGGCTGGTTCTGGTCTCTAAACCGCTCTATGGCAAGCTGTTTGCCTATATTATTGTTAGATTGATTAGGATGAAATATTTTATTGCTGGTTTGTTCCCTAAAACATTGAATTCACCCTGAATTTAATATCTTTTCGCAAAAACTTAAATGTTTAGATCTTGGCAGCTCAATGTATAAAAGCTGTGATGTCATCTTTAATTGGCTCTAGGAATAAGGTCTATGTTAGTGCTATGGAGCAGTTCTTTAACGAACCCTAGTGCGGACAGGCTGGCAGGGGCAGCACGGGGACTTCTGAAGTTTTAATTTATAAAAAGAAAAAAATCAGAGATTAAGTTTTCAAGTGGGAACGGAATATGGGAAGAGAAACTACCAGGAATAAATAAAACAGCAAAGGCAGGGATCACCTGAGCAGGTGAAGTGGAAAACAGGATTAAAGCGACAGGCGTGGCCACAGGTGGAGAGTTAACTTTAGACAAATCCTATGAATGAAAGACGGTAGAAATAAAATAAGGAAAACTAGAGAGAAAAAGACTCACAAATAAAAATCGTGTTTCTGTTGGTTGATTTATCCAATTAACATATATATTAGCTGATATACTGTATGTTCATCAACTGTGTCAGACTATCAGATAAAATTCCTCCAACATTTGTCATCATGACAGGATTCAATGTTTTTTTCTGGCATCTAAAAGACAAAATAAGGAATCTGCTGTAGAAAGAAGAGGCTGAACATTCAGAAGCTGCTGGAAATCAGAATAACTGAGAGAAGAGTGACAGTTGCGTCTCGTTTTCTCTCCTGTGGAAGCGCAGAGCCGCACCGGGTTATTTCTGTCAGATTAGCGTGAAATGAAATTGTGAAGTCTCTATTTAGATGTCTCGGGTGCTGAAAGTGCAGCCGTTGGACTCATCCTGATCCGCATCGCCTCCAGAAAGCCTCTAATCTCAGTCCTCCTTCCAGCAGCAGCACTTTAGGAACCAAGAAATCCATCCAAATATTTAGCTTAGATCCAGACATCCAGGTCACAGTTAGGGGGGGGGGCATCCTCTGGCCTCAGGAACAACTGGCTGCTGCCCCCCGGTGGTTGGAAAAGGCAACAGATAATGATGTAACATTTGAGTGGATTTGCTGAAGCTCATTTATACCCTTTAGACTTTAGGAATCAGGATTTTATTTGATCATCTAAAAACTGTTTTTATGTGATTTTAGCCTCATTTCCTCTGTCAGCTGCAGAGATCCGCCTCCTGGATTGAAAAGCCTGTTTCATCTGATCAGATTTAGACCAACATGTAAAACAAAACGTCTAGTGATCCTGAATGCAGCATCGCTGTAGAGAGAGACGGACCATCAGGCTGTTTGGAGGCTTTCCTGTGATGGATGGAGATGAACACTGAGGTCATTAGATAAAATGCTCTGATTCTGCAGAGACTGAAGTGACAGAGATTCACCATCAACATACAGCCGGAGCTTTAATGGGACGTTAGATCAGAGCTTAGTCCTGTGATGGAGTGGCCTAGTCAGGACCTTAGGGGAGGACAATTAATTGCATAAGAAGTATAATTACAGCTTAATAAAAACACAATTTCCAAAATGTCTTAGACTTGTTAGATTCAACAGAAGTAGTAAAACTGACTTCTTACTCCAGCCCATTAGATGGCGCTAATCAGTTTAATGTCAGTTTTCCACCTCAGGCAAGGAAAGACGGAGCTGCTGCTAGTCTGCAGATCCTACGACAGTATTGGGGCCAGGCAAGAGATTTGTTTTAGATTTGAGAATAAAGTCGTAATATTACGAGAATAAAATGATAACATTAAGGGAATAAAGTCTAAATTTACGAGAATAAAGTAATAATATTACAAGAATAAAATGATAACATTACGAGAATAAAATAGTAACATTACGCAAATAAAGTCATACCATGAAAACTTAAAAGAATCTCTGTCTTCTCTTAAATTAGGAATGTCGAGCATCTTGTGAAGTTATACTTTGGCTTCGGTTTTACAAATAAGGAAATATTAAGTCTTTTAGCATCAAATTATTATCAGCATGTCTGAGACAAAGCGCACTCAGGTTGCTGTTTGGCTGTTCTGGTCGGAGGTTTCTTTCTGAAACTGGTACGATGACTTGGTTCTTGTTAAATTTTCAACTTCATTTTCTTAATTTTACGACTTTATTCTCAAAATATGACTTTATTCTCATAATATTATGACTTTATTCTCAAAATATTATGACTTTATTCTCAAAATATGACTTTATTCTCATAATATTATGACTTTATTCTCAAAATATTATGACTTTATTCTCAAAATATGACTTTATTCTCATAATATTATGACTTTATTCTCAAAATATTATGACTTTATTCTCAAAATATGACTTTATTCTCATAATATTATGACTTTAT